CCGCTATTTAGAATTTATGTACGTTGAATTAAAAAAACCCACAAACGATTAGGAAAAAGGAGACCCAAGTATGGAAGAGACTGGAGAATGAGAGGACTCCAGCCTGCTCACCCGGGCAGCTGTTTGGAAACCTGAAGCAACGGGCGATGTTCTCGTGGGTGAAAAGTGCCAGAATGACTTCAGACCAGCGGCACCATGAGATGAGCACGTGGCGCTGGAGAGGGGGGAGAGCTGAACCAGGAAAGGAGGGCACCGGGAGCAGATGTCCGCAGCTGACAATGACCTCACTTCCCATGGAAGACAAGTCATCCCAGGGTTATTTTAACCTTCCCAAGACATGAAAGGATGGAAAACTCTGCAATTCGTCTCATGAAACCAGGATACTTAATTCAAAAACCTGATGTAGAACAAAAAGAGAAAACCATAGACAAATCCCACTTTTAGAAAATGCAAAAAAAATCTAAGTAAGAGAGCAGCAAGCAGGACCCAGCGCGACACCAGAGGCACCGTGTTACGGCCAGGTGGCTGAAGGCCAGGTTTACGAGGGCAGCCCAGCCATCAGAGAAGTCAGTTCATTAACCAGTTAGCACAGAAAATTCAGAGAACCCCACCGACAGGTACTGAAAAGAAGATCGACCACATTCAGCAATCGTCAGGAATAAAAGCACTATTTAGTATTAAAAGAAAAAAGTGCAAAAGCCTCCACACACGACAGTGGCCAAGATCATTCCACATAGAAAACACAAATGTCACAGATACACGGTTGGCTCATGGGGCCTGCTGCTGGCGTAACCATCCAGCATTGTCTCAGAGGTTCCAGCAAACTGAATAAGAAACGAAACAAATGCCAAAACATCCGAAAAAATAAGGCAATTAATTTTGTCAGTGACCTGATTGTAAACCTACTGATGCCTCTGCACCCTCATTTAAAAATTGAAAATCAGGCCTGGCGTGGTGGCTTGTAGGGTCCAGCCCTACAGGGTTCTGTGAGCCGCTCCCGGCTGGTGCAGAGACAGGAAATTGTAGAAATAAAAGACACAAGACACAGAGATTGAGAAAAGAGAGTTTGGGCCCAGGGGTCCACTGCTAACCAAATAATGGAGACCAGCAGTGGCCCTGAGTGCCAGGATGCTCACACTTTTAAAAAAAATTTTATTTATTTTTATTTTTTTATTGCATTTTAGATTTGGGGGTACATGTGAAGAATGTGCAAGATTGTTGCATAGGTACACACATGGCAGCGTGATTTGCTGCCTTCTTCCCCATCACCTATATCTGGCATTTCTCCCCATGCTCTCTCCACAACTCCCCACCCCCCGCTGTCCCTCCTCTATTTCCCCCAACTGACCCTAGTGTGTGATGCTCCCCTCCCTGTGTCCATGTGTTCTCATTGTTCAACACCCACCTACCTATGAGTGAGAACATGCGGTGTTTGATTTTCTGTTCTTGTGTCAGTTTGCTGAGAATGATGTTTCCAGGTTCATCCATGTCCCTACAAAGGGCACGAACTCATCGTTTTTGATGGCTGCATAATACTCCATGGTGTATATGTGCCACATTTTCCCTGTCCAGTCTACCATTTGGGTTGGTTCCAGGTCTTTGCTATTGTAAACAGTGCTGCAATGAACATTCGTGTGCATGTGTCCTTATAGTAGAATGATTTACAGTTCTTTGGGTATATACCCAGTAATGGGATTGCTGGGTCAAATGGAATTTCTATTTCTAGATCCTTCAGGAATCACCACACTGTCTTCCACAATGGTTGAACTAATTTACACTCCCACCAACAGTGTAAAAGTGTTCCTGATCCTCTCCAGCATCTGTTGTCTCCAGATTTTTTAATGATCGCCATTCTAACTGGTGTGAGATGGTATCTCAGTGTGGTTTTCATTTGCATTTCTCTAATGACCACTGATGATGAGCATTTTTCATGTTTCTTGGCCTCCTGTATGTCTTCTTTTGTAAAGTGTCTGTTCATATCCTTCACCCACTTTTGAATGGGCTTGTTTGTTTTTTTCTTGTAGATCTGTTTTAGTTCTTTGTAAATTCTAGATATCAGCCCTTTGTCAGATGAGTAGACTGCAAAATTTTTTTCTCATTCTGTTGGTTGCCGATTCACTCTACTGACTGTTTCTTTTGCTGTGCAGAAGCTGTGGAGTTTGATTAGGTCCCATTTGTCTATTTTGGCTTTTGTTGCCAATGCTTTTGGCGTTTTGGTCATGAAGTCCTTGCCTACGCCTATGTCCTGAACGGTTTGCCTAGATTTTCTTCTAGGGTTTTTATGGTGTTAGGTCTTACGTTTAAGTCTTTAACACTCTCACTTTTATTGAGTTGCAAATCCGGGGGCAGGGTGTGGTGTGGCCTTGGTGGTTAGAGATTGGGGGCAGGGTGGATAGTGCGTGGCAGTGATAGGGTCAGATACATCACGTATCATTCGGGTGGGGGCTCAGGAATTTCTGGCACCCGAAGTGAGGTAAGGAGCCTAATGCATCAGCACCTTTTCGATACTTACTGAGAAAGAACTAATATATTAAGATTTATATTACTATTACTGATGATCTCTTCTAAGAAAAAAGGAACCAGGTGCAGAAGCAGAACATGAGATCGGACATGGAACGTGACCATTGAAGCACAGCCTCACATAGGGACAGTTAAGTCCCGGGGTGTCTGCGGGCCTCCCTGACAGCAGTCAGGCCTTACCACAAGAGCTTGGAGCAGCGGAGTTTCTCCAAACGTCCCCAGGAAGGAGACGTCTCGCCATCTTGGACGTCTCCTTCCCTGGCTGGCTAAACGGCGGGCACTTTCCCAGCGCTGGCGCTGCCGCACAGCCGAGGCGCCCTCCAGCAGCCCTTATGCGGGTGCGACAGAGGGCTTAGAGCATCCTCCCTTAGTGTCATTCATTTCACAGTGTCACCCCAGGTTCACACTTCTGACCTGAGAGCATTAGTGAAGGAACTGAGATCACCTGTGAATAACTAAGATCACACATGAATAACTAATAACTACTATGATTATATTTCTGGTTACTTTCTTCTTCGTTATTTACATGGAAATAGGCTGAGGCCTTTTGCTCCTGCCTCCGTGCTTATGGGCTCTCCCCACTACAGTGGCTCACGCCTGTAATCCCAGCACTTTGGGAGGCCAAGGTGGGCGGATTACCTGAGGTCAGGATTTCAAGACCAGCCTGCCAACACAGTTAAACCCTCTCTCTACTAAAAACACAAAATTAGCCAGGCATGGTGGTACATGCCTGTAACCCCAACTTCTCAGGGGACTGAGGCACGGGAATCACTTGAACCTGTGAGCCGAGGTTGTGCCACTGCACTCCAGCCTAGGTAACAAGAGTGAAACTCCATCTCAAAAAAAAAAGTTAAAATTTAAAAATCAATTAAAAATTTAATACAAGATGAATATACAAAAAATAGTGACTTCACATTCCTCTAGCAATCATCACCTAAAATTTTTTTTTTTTAAGTCATGGGCCAGGCGTGGTGGCTCACGCCTGTAATCCCATCACTTTGGGAGGCCAAGGCGGGTGGATCGTGAGGTCAAGAGATCAAGACCATCCCGGCCAACATGGTGAAACCTCATCTCTACTAAAAATATAAAAAGTTAGCTGGGCGTGGTGGGGTGCACCTGTAGTTCCAGCTACACAGGAGGCCGAGGCAGGAGACTCTCTCGAACGTGGGAGGTGGAACTTGCAGTGAGCCGAGATTGCACCACTGCACTCCAGCCTGGTGACAGAGTGAGACTTCATCTCAAAAAACAAACAAAAAAAAGTCAAAATATTCCATTTGCCAGGGTCAAAGTCAGGATGCTGTAAGGAGCAGCTCAGGCCATCGGGAACTCAGCGGGGGCATCATTTCTCTCCCACATGGTGGCTGAGAACAGCTAGCCGGGCTGCTCTGTCACCTGCCACACGCGGGTCTCCTCATCACGCCTCTCCTTCAGTCTTCCAGGCTGTTTTTCCTGGCTGCGGGGTTCCACTGGGTGCAGAAATGCCCATGTCTAGCCGACAGGAGGGGCCAGGGCCAGGGGCGGAGCAGGAGAGAAGCCGTGTTCCACCTGTGAGACGTGGCCCGTGTCGCTACATGTGTTCCGTGGTTAGCCCTTGGTCAGGGTCTGGCCTGGCTGGAACCTGGTCTCACCGTGGCAGGGACAGGGCAACGTCATCACAGGAGAAGGGGTGATGACGGGAACAGCATCTCCAGGTGACAAAAGCCCCCGACAATTTGGGGAGAGAGGTGCGGGTGGGTGTGAGACGAAGCAGGGCCCAAGGGCTCCAGCTCAGACAGCCGGGAGCAGAGTCTGAGAGGGCCCAGCCCGGAGTGCCCCCGCCAGCCTGCAGCCCAGCCTCCGGGTTCCATGAAATTGCCTCCAGTCACCCCAGGAGAAACAGCGCATGGCCCAGGAAAGAACGAACAGGCAGCGTGGACCCAGGCTCCAGCGCCGGCCGCCAGTTACCAGACAGGGATGGCCACTTGCGCCTGTGAGCCTCACTCTCCACATCTGCGGCTGGGTGTTCAGATGGTTGCGCCTGCCTGGCGGGGCTGCTGTGAGTTAAGGGGTGAGAAACGCCTCCCTGTCCACTGTCTCCGATGCGTTCTTCCTGGGTCACCCCTCACTCAACACCCCCAGAGGCTGGGTGGGCGCAACGGACACTTGAGAAAGCGTCCAGCCCGCAGAATGGAGTCCAGGACCTAGAGAAGCTTCAGGGATGAGCAGGGTGGTCGGGGGCCAGGGAGTCAATGATGGGGAGTGAATGGAGGGAGGAGGGGGCGTCAGGACAGGGGGTGCAGGCAGGGCAAGGACGGCTGAGTGGCCCTGGTGTCAGAGCAGGGAAGGCTGGGCAGGGGTGGGAGCCAGGCTCTGCGTTTCTGCCTCCAGGACGTTATGGATCTGGCGGGGAACACATAAACCATGAGCTCACCCCACGGGAACGTGGCTTCCTCTGGCTGCCCCCACAACAGCTGTTCCCCATCAGCACCGGCTCCATCTCTCTAGCAGGAAGCTGGGCGGCAGCCGCAGCAGGCCAGGTGTGGACACCCCTCACAACCTCCCATCTACGTGGACGTCGCTGGACGGGGTGGTAAGGGGTGGTAAGGGAGAGGGTGGGGTGCAGCCCCCAACACCTTTGGCCCCTCTGGTGCCTGCCTTTGCTGTGACCACATGGAGGAAATCAGCTCCCGGGATGGGGGGGGTGCCAAGGCTGCAGGGTCCTCAGTGCTACCAACCACGCATGATCACGGCCACTGGCCGAGCCCCACGTGGAGCCTCTGCCCGGACCTGTGCCTCCCGTGCCCTCCTGGCTCTGCTGCAGCAGACCCGTATGCTGAGGCCTTCTGGACGGTTCCGGCCCATGTGGGCTGTTCACACCACACCTGGTCCGGGCTGAGGCTTCCTGTCCCTTCACCCTCCCACCCTGACCAGGTTGGCCTGCGGGGCCTTGGGTGCAGCCTGACCACGCGGCCCTCCGTGGCCACCCACAGCCAGGGGGACCCAGATTCCCTGCAGGCCAAATGCAGATGCCACAGTCCCTCCAGCCTCTTTCCCCACGGGATGTGGTCGGTGACAAAGGGGGGTGGACTGGCCTCTTGCCATGCTGGGGCCCTGTGCCCACCCTGCCCACTCTGAGTGTCCCTGCTGTGGGTTCCCAGCCCACTGGCTTCAGGCACTGCCACGCCCAGAGCTCGCCTCTCTGAAGAGGGTGTGCATTTCCCCAGGCCAGGCCTGTGGCCAGCAACGCAGGCAGGTGTTCGTGACCAGGGCGTTTGTGTTTTCAGGAACAGACCCCAAACCATGCAGGGAAGGAGGAGGCCCTGAGAGAGAAGGCACTGGCACACACATGTGACCACAGAGAAGACTGCCTTCACCCTGTCCACATCCCGGGAGCACCTGCCACACGGGGGACCCAGTGCCGTTTCTGGTTTTCCAGTGCTGCCTTCTTGAGGCGTGGGCTCCGCAGTGGCTCCCCTGATTCCTGAAAAACAGCTTCACTGAGGGTCGTTCACACACACACAAGTCGGCCTTTAAAGTGCACCATTCCGTGGTTCGTCGTCTATTCATGAAGTTGTGTGGCCATCCCCACTAATCTCATTCCGGAACACGTGCGTCATCCGCAGAAGGCGTCCTGTGCCTGTCAGCAGCCGCTCCCTGCCGTGGTTTGAGTGCGGCCCCAGCAGAGACCAGACAGCAGTTTCTCAGCAGAGACTTCCTGCCTCTCGGTCCGGAGGCCAAGGTGCCGGCGGGGCCATGTCCTCTTCCATGACGGCCCCTCTAGGCCGCCGGCTCACACGGCCGGAGGGTGGGCCTGCCCCACGAGCCCTTTCCAAAGCGGCTTTAGTCATGAGGGCTCCGCTCGTGAGTGGGTCCAACACCTGCCATCAGGCCCCAGCTCCTGGCCCGGCTGCAGGGCTCTCAGTTTCAGCGTGAGCTGCAGGGGATGCAAGCGTTCCAAGCACGTCACGCTGGCCCAGAACTCGCCCTTCCCGCAGAATCGGGCAAGTCAGCGTCCTCTGGAGGGACAGGGCTGAGAGCGTAGACGCATCTGAGAAGGGGGTTTCTGAGGGGAACTGACTCACACGATCACAAGGTGACGTCCCACGATTGGCCGTCTGCAAGCTGAGGCGCCAGGAAGCCAGTCCCAGGCCCCAGACCTCAGCAGCGGGGACGCCGACAGCAGCTGTGTCTGTGGCCGAAGCCCCGAGAGCCCCCGACAAACCACCGGGGTGAGTCCAAGAGCCCCACAGCTGAAGAACCTGGAGTCCGAGGCCGGAGAGCAGGAAGCATCCCACACAGGAGGGAGACGGAGGCCGGAAGGCTCAGCCAGTCCAGCCCTTCCACGTGCCTCTGCCTGCTCCACCCCGGCCGCGCCGGCGGCTGGTGAGACGGTGCCCACCCAGACGGAGCGGGGGTCTGCCTCTCCCAGTCCACTGCCTCAAATGGTGATCTCCTTTGGCAGCACCTCACAGACACACCCAGGATCGGTGCTGTGCACCCTTCAATCCAGTCAAGGTGACACTCGGTATTAAACATCAAAAAATACATTCATTCCATCCCAGCTGCCCCAGAGCCTTAACTCATCCTAGCACCAACTCACAGCTCTGAAGCTCCGAGTCTCATCGAAGGCAGGCTCCCCTGCAGCTGTGAGCCCCTGAAATCAAGCAAGTTATGTGCTTCCCAAATGCAGTGGGGCCGGTTCACGACAGACATTTCTATTCCAAAAGGGAGAAATAGGCAAGAAAAGACAAGAGCAAACCCAGGGAAGTCCACACGCAGCAGGGCAGACAGGGTGGCACTCAGGCTCGGGGACGACCGTGGAATCCATGCCCACCTTGCAGCCACACGGGGCAGGGCTGGGCCCCACGGCTTCTCTGGGCTCAGCCCACGCGGCACTCGTGGGTCAGAGTCTCCTGCCTGCAGCTCTCCCGAGCTGTGGTTGCTCGTTGGTGGCCCTGAAGTCCTGGGGCCTTGGAGGCAACCCCTGCCTCGCCTCCCTGAGCATTGCCAGGGTGGGGACGCCAAGGCAGCTCCGCCCCCATGATGAGTCTCTACCTGGGCCCCAAGGCTGTCAGCAACACACTTTGAAACCCGGGCGGAGGCCACCATGGCCTGCAGGGTCAGTAGCGTGTGGATGCCACCAAGGCCCACCACATGCCCCCTCGGGAGCAATGGGTGGGGCTGCGCCCACGCCTGCCTGACTGTGACTGGGGCGGCCGAGACAGGCTGGGCCAGGATCTGGGGGAACAGACAGGCTGTGAGCACTCTGGTCCCAGTGGTGCCTCAGGGGCCCACCCTGCAATGCTTCTGCCCTCAGGGCCCTCATAAAAGGGCTGGAAGGAAGTAGCTGGGCTGCTTTCCCTCCTGGTTCTGCTGTGAGGCTGGAGCACCCTCGGAGCTGCCCTCCGCAGACCCCGGCCTGCCGGCTCCTGGATCTTGGACTTCCTGGATCTTAAGAACTGAGGAAATACATTTCTGTTGCTTGTACATTTCCTGGTCTGAGGTGTTTGGTCATAGCAGCGGGGATGGACTAAGACACGTCCCGTTTTCTCCCAGCTGTGCCCTCTCCCCTGGCCCAGGCAGCCGGGAGCCTACACGGTGTCGCCACGGACCTGCCCATTCCAGACATTTGACATAAGTGGCCTCGTGATCTGTGGCAGTCCGCGTCTGACCTCTTCCACTTGGCAAATGTTTTCGAGGTTCGTTGGCTTTGCCGCGTGGGCCACAGCTGCAGGTGAGTGGTATCGTGGGGCCAGGCCACAGCGTGTCTATCTGCCCATCAGCCGACGGGCATGTAGCTGTGCCCACGTTGGGGCTACTGCAGATCGTGGGGCCAGGCCACAGTGTGTCCATCTGCCCATCAGCCGACGGGCACGTAGCTGTGCCCACATTGGGGCTACTGCAGATAATGCTACTGGGAACATTTGTGGATGACCTTTTGTGTGGACACGTATTTCTGATTCTCAGGGACGTGTCCCCAGGCGTGTGATTGCTGGGTCATGTGGAAATTCGACTTCACACTTTGAAGAACAGAACGGCCACACCGTCTCGCGCTGCTGCACGCCAGGTTCCCGTGTCTCTGCCCTGACGCCGCTGACGCTTCTGGCTCCAGACATCCCAGTGGGTGTGAGGTGGGGCCTCGTGTGGTTTTGATTTGCGTTTCCTGGTGGCTCACGGTGTTAGGCACCTTGTCCTGAGCCTGTTGGCTGCTGTTTACATGATTTGAAAAAACCTCTATTCAGATCCTCTGCCCATTTTTAAACTCAGCTGTTTATCTTTTTATTGCTGGCCTGTAAGAATTCTTCAGCACGTTGGGTTTTCACTGCCTCACCCCGGAGCCGAGACACATCCTTCTGCTCAGTCACTGGCCAGAAATGCAGAGAAATGCTGCTGTGTGACCCCACGACCTCGGCCTGATGCAGGGGTCCCCGAAACATTAGACGGCGCTGTCTGCAGGACACAGCCCCGGGAGGAGGCTTCACACTGTTTATTTGGCCCTAATCCCCCACGAATTTGAGACGTCCCCTTCAGCGTGTCTGTAACGCCTGTGCGCTCGCCGCCGTCTTTCACGGTGACTGATCCACACAGCGGCCCCACGGGGCTGAGCGGCTGCGGCCTCCCGGTGACGCTAAAACCTGGTGGCCGCAGTTCTGCTGCTGCTCCTTTGTTCCAGAACTGCCTTGGTTTTCTCACTTTTCCACGTGAACGTCACAATCAGTCTACCTGGTTCCAGGGTTCTCTGGTGTTTTAATCGCCCCGCCGTGGCCGCGCCAGCGCGGGGGACGATGCCGCGTGCTGCCTGGGACAGACCGGCCTCCTGCTGGGCTGCAGCCCTCGGTGGCCTCAGGCCCTCTCTAACTGGTAGGGACCCGCCCGCTGTTTGCTCCTAGAAGTGCACGGTTTTTGCTGCTGTTGAAAATGGTGCCTTTTCTTTCTCCATCGTCCCTCCTAGCTGGCAGTGCTGGGATCTGAAAGAGCTGAGTCCCGACTGTGAATGCCGCGCCCAGCTGCCCCGTAAGTTTGCCTCTGTCTTCCAATCCATTTCCGAGGTCTGTGTGGGGTCAGCAGCAGGCTGGGGTGCAGCCTCTCTCCAGCTGCGTGTGCCAGCTCCTCCGGGGTGCTTGGCTGTGAGGCCTGGCCTGTCCCTGTGGTCGAGGGAGAAGACCCAGCTGTCCCCTCCCCAGGCCCTGTCCATGCCCGCCCGTTACGCTGCCTGGACACACATAGGGAAGGACCCTGGGACACAGAGAGGAACTGGCTGTGGGTGGAGACAGCGCCTGGCTGAGGTCCTGGGGAAGAGGCCATGTCCAGGGCTCCTGGACACAGGAGGTGGCACTGGCTGAGCCCAGTGCTCACGCTGGGCACAGGGGAGGCACTTTCAAGCTGGGGCGTCCTCAGAGCAGCTGCATCCGGGGCAATACCCACACCCTGGTGTCCACGTCCACGTCTTTACCAGAACTGCCGCTGGCACCCACAGACCTGTGGGCTTTGTCCAGGGAAAGCCGTGCCCAGCACCCAGGGGGCCTGCAGGGGTGCTAGGATTTAGGGTTAAAATCGAGAATCCCGGCCCCCCGAATCCCTGTCCCCAGAGGCCCCATCAGAGCGGCCTGGCCCTCCCGTCCGCCAGCCCAAGCATGAGGCTTCTGCCAGCAGTGCCTGTGGCAGCCTGAGGGAGGGTGGGGGCCGGGGGGACTGTCATTTGGTGTTGATCAAGGGAGATGCTGGTGTCTCCATGGTCCCAGGCCCTCCCGGGCTCCTTCACGCGGATGCCCCGCTCACAAACACCCGCCCAGGCCCCACCAGGGCCCCTCTCACCTCTCACCTCGGAAGCCGTGCAGGGCTTGGATGGGCAGGAAGGTCCAGGAGGGGCCCCTGAGGCCTCCTCACCTGGGTCTGGGGGTTGAGGCCACAGGAAGCCCCGCTCCGTCCCTGATGCCCACCTCCAGCTCTCCTGGCTGCCTCCCGGCCTCCATCTCCCTCCAGGGTCCCACCCTGACCAGGGAGTTGGGGGGTGGGGAAGTGGATCTTTTGGGGAGAGGCCACACCCAGTGTCAGGTCTGCATGTCCAGGGTGGCCTTCTCCTGCCTAGACTCCTCCCCCGG